TATGTTTAAGTTAGATCATACGTTTCCCTAACATGAAACCAATCACGCTAGTCGCCACTGGTATAAATCAATTGAATAATTACGGATTCAATCAATTAATTTGACAGTAGATTATTAGGTTAACTCGAATATCGGTCACTTGACATTCAAATAACATAACAAGCATAGACAATTAAATCAGGAAACGTATAAATACCAATAAATAAAAGAAATAAGTAAAATAATTAGATCTCACAGATCTTCGAAACCGAATCCTCAAATTGACCTTCGACTAGAAAAACTTAGCCACGCCTCATGAGAAAATCTCCAAATAATTTAACTGAGGTCCAGGCCATCAAAGGAACCAAGAAAGAATAAAACTAAACTATGCTAAAAAAACTCTCTGTAGCGTTTCTTACGATTGTCCTTATATAGTCAAAAAGAAATGACTAAAGCTATCTATCCAGTGGTCCCCACGAATAAGGAACAAAAACAACTCTTTGCATGTTTGTTTTCTTTCAATTCAAATGACTAATGTCTTTCTTCTCTACGTGGTCCCCGCCGAATTGAGAGTCAAGGTGCCAGAAGAAAGCTCTCCCGAATTCACTTTTCTAGTTTCCTCTTGCTAGTCAAAGACTCCCCGTACAAGTCATCTACCTAATACTAAAGTCCACATATCAGCAACCGAAAAAGGCTTCCTTGTAACACCATATGGGGCCCGACTTGTAGCTATGTTGGAGGTTCTAGCGTGTGAAGCTGTTTTATCCTTCAGATGGTCTAGCTCTTTTTTTCTTTTTATTTTCTTTTGTGTACTTTTCTGCTCCATTCTTGAAATGAGATCCAAATACCAAATATAAATATATATTAACAATTAAGTAATATTTGGCAAGGACAAAAAGAAAAATTAATAATAAAATAACCAACAATTAACACCCTATCAATCTCTCACAGAGCATATCAGAGAATTTGTGCCATGATAGTTCTGGGTATTCCATCTTGATGCCTTGATACCATACCACACATCTGCTTTTTTGTCAAGAAACATTTCAACCACTTCCAGTTGCTACTCAGATGGAACTTGATAGGTGATGAAATACTTCTAGCATTTGCGAAGCCAAATGCGAGGATTTTCCCTAGCAAACAATGGTAGCTCAATGTTGGGTGGATTTGGTAAAACTATCTTCAGAAATTTAGCTCTGGTGCACTAATGAATGCCATTGTCTGGTTGGAGTTTTGTGTACGGTGGTGGTGCGAGTAAGATGGGGTATTTTTTCCGACTAAGTTGATTTCTCTCTTTTCAAATTCTTCTCTCAGGCCACTAGTTCAATTAAAGCATTGAGTTTCTGATCTATTCCTGAAATCATTGCTTTCATCTTCTAAGTAGAAATCTCCATTTCTCCATGCAGTTGCTGTTGAATTTCTTGCTGATTCTATTGAAGGGAAGTAATAGACTGTAGAGCCTCTTGTAAACGACCTTCCTATTTCTTCAATTGATATTCCATATTCTTGAAACAGGTGCCTTCTGCCATGCTCGAACTAGTTGTATCAGTCCAAGAATCGTAGCTCTGGATACTAATTGTCAAGAATGAGAGTGGAATTCCTAATAGTTAGCTGCAACTAAGCTATCTCTGGAAGATGACTTGAAGATTGAGTAAAATAGATGAAAAAGGAAAGAAGAAAGGAACCGAGAGAAAGAGAGAGAGAAAAGGATGCAAGAACGAATGAGAATCAAATTCTGTTATGAACTTTCTTGACATCTTTCCTTTACAATTTGCTTAATATAAAAGAATGAACTAACAAATCCACTACTTCATTATTCTTTTAACTAACTGAATTGTTGACCTCATCAAGTCTAACAATCCTCTAACTGACTCATACAACTACTACAACTTGCATAATTTGTAGATTAGTCATTAGGTCCTGACATAATACCACTATTTGGAAAAGACTTTGACTCTAGCATTGAATTCTTGAGTCTTGATTACTAAGATTTTTATTATAAGGGTTAAATGCACTAAACCCCATTAAATTATTTACTTAATTGCAGTTTATGTCATAAACTATTTTAATTGAATAGCCTCTCACTATAAGAGCAAGTTTCTCTCTGTCCTAGAGAGAGAAAATACCCCTCAGCAGGTGTTCACACTTTCTTGAAAACTTCAAAAAAATTGAATTACCGGTTTAGGAGCCAAGATCAACAACCTTCCATTGAAGAAAATTTACCGATCTCATCCATGATCTCTGGAATAGCGTTGGATTTTCTAGTGATAGTAGCCATAACTTTTTCCATTTTCCATTTTCTATTAAATAAGATGTGATAGCTTTCATATCTACGCTCACTTTTCTCCTTCTTCACGTTTTGTTAGCTTTTGTTGTTTCCGTGTCTAATTTCGTTTTTCTGTTTTGCTTGTTTTGAATCAGGAGTTATTGGTACTGGAACTTGTTGGAGGCATTGCAAGGACTCGAATTAGTTTTAGTTTGTATTGGACTAGAAACATCCTAGAAATTGCAGCGTGAAGTTTATAGGATGGATTATGGAGAATATCGAAGAGGTACTAAAAAGGTTCAAACTCTCTGAAGAGGAAAGAGATGGAGTTTGTTTGAACAAGGAAGAAGTGGCTAAAGGTGTTCTAGAATGCAAGCAAAGCTTGATTGGTAAAGTTTAGGGGGGAAAGCAGGCAAATATTAGAGGAGTTAAGAGCTTCGCAAATAGCATGTGGTCTCAGGTGAAACATCTGAAAGTAATGGAGATTGGATGTAATCTGTTCCAGTTCATTTTCGAGAAGGAAAAGAATATAGAGGTAGTGATGAGCAGGAGGCCATGGATTTATGATGGCCAACCTTTAATTCTGCTGCAGTTGGAAGCTGGTTTGAAGGAGAATGAAGAAGCTTTAAGTAAAATATTAATTTGGGTCCAGATCTGGAATATACCCTTGCAATGGGTCACGAAGAAGGTTGGAAAGAAGATTACAACATATTTCCAAAAGTAAATAAGGTGATCATCCCACAGAGCGAAGGAAAGGAAGGTAAACATCTAAAAATTTTGGCTGAAATTGATCTTTCCATTCCATTACCTAGAGGTAAATAGTAACGGTTTTAAGAGGTGGATTGGATTTAAATATGAAAAATGTCCAAATTTCTGTTTTGGTTATGGATTGATTGGTCATAGTGAACGAAATTGTAGTAAAAAAGGAATGAATATAGGGAGGGAACCTCAGTATGGGAATTGGTTAAGAGCTAGTTATCCCCGAAGTCCTAATAAGAAAAATAGGAATGGAAATGGCATTGGGGCTAGGGAAGAAGAGAGGCACCAAACTCAAGCAATAGGGATGCAAGGAGGGATGAACATAAGTTATTGTTAACCTATACAAAAGATTTGCATAAAGGGGCAGAACTAAAACAAATTTTTCAAAAAGAGTTGATTAGGGACATTGCTTTGATGAGTAGGAAGGAGAAAAGAGTACTTGAGGAGAGCAGGACAGAAGGGATTGAGGATGGGAAGGGAGGGGGGAAACGGGGGGAAAGAGGGCTAAGTAAGGCAGGAGGTAGGAACATTGCGAAGGGAAAGGGATGCAGGAGAAAAGAGAGGCAAATGGAACAACAGGATGAGGGAAGTTCAGAGAAAGTGAAGGAAGGAGCAGATGACCTGATGTGGATTGATGTGTTCAGAGTAAGGATAATGAGGATAAGATTGCTAAGGTAATAATAGAAGGGAGGGAAGGTAAGATAACATCTGAGGGAGGTGAAGATAAGGGGAAGATGGGTAGACAGAAGAGTAGGCCTAAAGGGAATCAAATAGTAAGTAAGAGGTGGAAAAGACTGGTGTTGGGGGTAAGCAGGAGAAAACCACTAGTAGAGGCAAACAAAGAAGTTACTAGAATTGAGAAAGGGAAAAGGAAGGTGGAGATTATGGAAAGGGAATGTGATGAGATGCACGTAGGGAAGGAAAATTGGAAGAGAATTAGAGCTGAGAGTGGAAATAGTAATTGGATGGAACTGTCTGAGAGGTTGTTGTCCACCCTAATTGGGGCTCCACTGTTTAAAGAGGTGCGGAGAGCCCCTTGACAGTTCCCCAACTGAGGAAGGTCATTAGACTCCACTCTCCTTTTTTAGTGTTTTTGTCAGTAACAAAGAAGAAAAAAAAACTATTTGAACAAAGTGAAATAGTGAATAAAATTTGACAATATGTTTATTGTTGATCTAGTTGGTAGGGCCGGGGGCTTGGCTGTATTATGGAAAAAAGGAATTGCATGTGAAAAAGGTCTTGTTTACAAGTTTTACTATTGAATTACTAATATATGACAATGAAGCTAGAATTTACTAGTGGTGCATATGTGCTTATGCTAGTTCAGATGCAAGTGTTAGAAGAGAGCAGTGGAAAGTTATAACCAGACGAAGTGTTATGTGGGGTGAGTACTGGGCAATAATGGGAGAATGACATTACTTCTAATAGAGAAAAATGGAGAGGTAAACAGAGAGTTGAGGTGAGGTTCTAGGATTTTAATTTCTTCATAAATAATAATGAATTGGTTGACATTGGTTTTGAAGGAATTTCTTGGACCTCGAGCAATAACTGGGGAAATGAGGGAGAGGTGAAAGAGAGGTTAGATAGGATTTTAGGAACTAAAGACTGGATAAAAAAGATTGATAAGGCAAAATGTATACATGTAGAAATTGAGGCATCTGATCATTGTATACTAGTTTTGGATAAAAAGTCAGTGGGGAAGACATGGAAGAAAAGGTTTATGTTTAATAGAAGATGGTTACAGCAAGAGGATACAGAGGATATAATTGGGAAAGCCTGGGGAGAATACCAACAGGGGTCCAGGTTATATAAAGTTCAATGTAAAATCAAAAAAGTCAGAGTGGACTTGCTTAGTTGGAGTAAAGGAAGTTTTTTTAACTCAAAGAAATAGATAGAATATGTTAAAAAAGAAATAAAAGAGGTCAAGGAGAGTAAACTTAGTGGTTACAGGATTAAGCTGGCGGGTCTTAAGAGGAAGCTAGCTGATGCTTATAAAATGGAAGAGCTATATTGGATTCAGAAGGCTAGGATAAAATGGTTAAAGGAAGGGGACAAGAATACTAGCTATTTTCATGCAAGAGTGATTGGCAAGAGGAAAATGAATAGGATTAGTGTGCTGAAAAAAAAGGAGTAGGGATTGGTGTGAAAGTGAAAAGGAAACTTGTCAGGAGATCATAGACTATTTTAAGTAGATTTTTAATTTAGCAAAACCAAATGACTTTGCAGAAATCTTACAAGGAGTCCCACAAACTATCACTGCTGAGACGAACAAGAAGCTAACCAGGAAAGTCACAGATCAGAAAATTAGTCATGCTATCTTTGCAATGCAACCAAACAAATCTCCAGGGCCAGATGGTATGTCCTCTTGCTTTTTCCAAAAATTTTGGCAAATTGTTAAAACTGATGATGTTAATGTAGTGCAAAGTTTCTTTCATTCTAGTCATCATCTTATATCCATCAATGAGACCTTGATGAGCCTTATTCCCAAAACTGATTCCCCAATTTCAATCACAGAATTCAGACCCATTAGTTTGTGTAATGTTATCTATAAAATCATCTCTAAAGTGTTGACAAACAAATTTAAGAGTTTTTTGAACTACTACATTAGTGATTCCCAGTTTACCTTTGTTCCTGATAGACAGATTGTAAATAATGTTTTGATTGCTCATGAAAGTGTTCACTTCTTAAAAAATAAAAGGACTGGGAGAGATGGTTATATGGCTAGCAAATTAGATATGTCCAAGACTTATGACAGAGTAGAATGGGGGGTGTTTAGCTAAAATGATGTTGAAAATGGGCTTCTGTCCCATGTGGATTCAATGGATCATGGAGTGCATTACTAGTGTAACCTATTTCGTAAACATTAATGGTGAGAAAATTGGTTTCATTAGGCCTACTAGGGGTTTAAGACAAGGGGACCCGCTATCCCCTTATTTGTTTTTTATTTGTGCTGAGGGATTTTCCTTCCTGATTCAGCAAGCAAATGCACAGGAGGAACTGACAGGAATGAGGATTGATTGCTCAAGGGGCTCCTAGATTATCTCACTTATTTTTTGCAGATGACTCATTGATTTTTTGCAAAGCAAGTGCTGAAGAGGCAGGCCAACTGAGGAGAATACTAGATCTGTACAAACAAGCTTCTGGTCAGCTAATCAATGTAGAGAAATCATCACTGTTCTTCAGTAGGAATGTGAGTAATAGGCAAAGAGAATGGGTGATGAGAGAGCTGCAGGGAATAAAGGAAGTTCTGCAAAGCAAGTACCTGGGACTGCCTTTGGTCATTAGGAGATTCAAGAGACAAGTTTTTGACTTTATAAGGCAAAAAACAATAGCAAGGCTAAAGGGATGGAAACAGAAATTACTGAGTCAAGCTGGGAAAGAAGTATTGCTCAAGTCTGTCATAATGGCTTTGCCTACCTATGTCATGTCCTGTTGCCTTTTGCCAAAGGCTTTGTGCAAGGAAATATGCTCAAAAATGGCAAAGTATTGGTGGGGGCAGAAGGAAAATGAACATAAGGTTCATTGGCTAAGCTGGGGAAAGATGACAGAAGTTAAAGCAGAAGAAGGGCTAGACTTTAGAGAGTTGCATGAGTTTATCTTGGCTTTGTTGGCAAAGCAACTTTGGAGAATTCTGACTAAGCCTAACTTACTAGTGAGTAAAATAATAAAGGCCAGATATTTTAAGGGAACATCCTTCTGGAGGACAAAGAGCTGCTGGACGAGAGAATAAGGAAGCAAGTAGGAGATGGGAAATCTATAAACATATGGGAGGATAGATGGCACCCAGAAATTGAAGATGGAAGAGTCAAGACTAGGAATGTGGAGGGTATAGAGGTAGAGAGAGTGTGTGAGTTCATCAAAAATGGAATGTGGGACAAAGAATTGATTGCTCAGGTTTTTGACAAGAAAGAACGGAGGAAAATAATGAGAATTTCGCTCAGTGTGAAACCTAGGAAAGACAGAATATATTGGGCATTTTCTAATATTGCGGTGTATACTGTAAAATCAGGGTACAAATTGGCAAAAAACAGGAAAAGGAGCGAAGATCAATGGTGGCCAGGGGCAGAATCCAGCTGCAGGAAAAAAAATGCAACACAGACTTGGAATTTCTTATAGGGATTGAACATGAAGAATAAATTGAAGCATTTCATCTGGAGATGCCTGCATGGCATTTTACCTGTGAATGCAATGATTAAGGAAAGATGCTCAAAAAGAGATCATATGTGCAAGGGATGTGGGGAAAACTCAGAAACCATCGAACATATGTTGTGTTTTTTTAACAATGCAAAGTCTATCTAGAAAGCTGCCTCACTGAGCTGTGAGGGTCTGGAGGCTTACAAGAATAGATTTTAGCACTGGTGAGAAGAACTAAAAGAAGCTGTGAATAAGGAGAATGGCAGAGAGCGTATTGTGCTGACAGTAAATTTGCTATGGCAAATTTGGAAATCAAGAAACGAGAGGCAATTTAATGATAGAGGAAGGGACCTAATGGTAGCAGCTAATAAAGTAGTAATGCAGTGGAGGGAGTACCAGGAAGCTCAAGAAGCAGAGATGGAAATTGGGGGATATAGTAAGATTGTAGAAGAGGCATCGAATGGCTGGAAGAGACCAAAGAAGAGTTGGGTCAGGATGAATTCAGATGCAGCTCTACACCAAAAAATGGATAAGGCAGGCTAGGGAATGGTTGCGAGGGACTGGCAAGGGAAGGTGTTAGGAGCCTGGGTAGTGCCAAACTCAAGCTGCTCAAATCCAAAGCTAGAGGAGGCAATGGTGCTAAGAGCTGCTATGTTGGTGGCGAAGCAACAAGGAGGGAAAAGTGTGGAGTTTGAAACAGATTGTTTGTAGGTAGTGAATGGGATAAACAGAGAGATGTAATAAGGTCAGTAGTTGTATCTGATATTAGGAAACTTAAGTCTAACTTTGATGAATGTTGTTTTACTTTTACTAGAAGGGTAAACAACTCTATTAGTCATAAACTAGCCAAAATGGCAATTATCTTGAAGGAATTTGTTAAATGGAAGGATGACTTCCCAGTCTAGCTGCTTGAGTTAGCGCAATCAGATTGTAAGGGTAGTTGTTCACCTTTTATGTAACCTGGCTTAGACTATTAATAAAATGTTGCCGTTTCGAAAAAAAAATGTCATAAACTATTTTAGTAGGCACTTTGCCCTCCTCCCCCTCTCATGAGATGTTTGGAAAAAATATTATCCTTTCTGTTTTAATTATTCTATTTTTTTAATTTTTTTCTGACATTTTCTTTTTAGTTTCTTCCCTTTTTATTTTCTTTTTTCATTCTTCATTTCCTATGCTATTATTATTTGTATACCTGAAATTAAATTTTTAATATTATTTAACTTGGTATACTGGATTGTTAAAGACTTATTTATTTGTTAGTTTCCAAAGTCAATATTTCAACAAAAAAAGAACTCTATACTATAACAAGATCTGTGTTTTTCACATTGTGATGAGTGTTTGGTTTAAGGCATTGAATTATTCAAATGTATAGGAACAAAATATAGCTATTAATTAATCAATTATCAATTGTAGTCAATAACAAATAAACAAATCAACTGATTGTTTTTTGTCATTTGTTGTTTTACTACAAATAATGTGTTAACCTTCTTTGTTACGTGATCTAAAATATGTTACTTTTATAGTGAATAGTTGAGTAATTGTGAACTCTAATTAGTTTATATGTGCTTGTAGACACCAAAATTTTGAATAATTTTATGTAGCGTCTATTTCATGATTTTCATTTTAGATTGCTTGCATTTTAGTTCGTTATTGTGTGTTTTACACTATTAGTTGTTATGTTATTTTAGTTTTACTCATTTTCGCCCTTTTAGTTGATCTATTTCATTTGCTATTTATTCTTGTTTGCTTTTACTTTTGGTTTTTAGTTTTAGCTTTTAATTTTAAAATTAGCATAGAGTTTTTAGAAAAAAGAAAAGGAAAACATCAAAAATATGTTTTAGTCATTTTGTTTTTATTCAATGCTTTCTTGAAAGAAAAATGAGAAAAAAGAAAAAGGAGAAAAAAGGAAAAAAGAAAAATTTGTTCACAAAAATATGTTTATTTCTTTAAATTCAATCTTTGGGCACTTTAGTTATTTTTATTAAGTTATTTTGAGAAAAGAAAATGATGAAAAGTAAAAAAATTGAAAAATTAAAAATGGCCATTTTTGTTTAGTTTTTTGTTTAAAGTTATTTTTGTTTTATTATTATTATTATTACTTGGTTTTTGTTAATTTGTTATTATTATTTATATTTTATCATTTCTGTATTTATTAAGTTGAAGGTTAAAAAAAAAATAAAAAAAAAAAGAGAAGAAACGCGACTTGCAAGCTGCGTTTTTGCAGCTTGCAAGGGAGGACCTCAGGCAGCTCCTTTAGCTGCAAATAGGGGAGAATATAGCTGGGCATTAGGGTTGGGAGGTTCCGTATAAATAGCAAAAGAAAGCTACAGCCGCACAGGGGGAGATTCAAAGGAAAAGAAAAACAGCAAAAGAAAAAGTTAAGGGCGACGGAGAAAAACTAGAAAACAGCAAGAGAAAGGGGGCAGCTGGGAGCTTTTCGGTGAGCAAGAGGAGAGGTTTTTTTTGGAGAGCATTAACGGGCTGAGAGTTGAGAGGGTCGGCTGTGAGAAGGGAAGAAAGGAAGAGCAAGCAGGCTACGGGGTTTCTTGGGAGGAAATAGAAAGCTAACGGAAAAGGAAGGAAAAAACCAGAGAGAGAGCCTGAAAGGGGGAAGTAGCGGCTGAACTGAAAAATTCGGAAAGACAAGCTTGGGGAAGCTAGGGGGAAGGCTGAGGTTGCAGCCAGAAAATCCAGCGAGAGTGAGAACCGCGAGAAGGAGGAGAGGAAGGGTGATAGCCGAGAGAAAGAGACCAAACAAGGAAGAGGGACCAGCAATTCATTTCCCTCGGATGATCGTGAGGATCGAGTTTCCCTTTCCTGTCAAGTCCCAATTCCTACAGTAGCAAGATAGGTAATCCTCAAACTCCCTCCCGTTGTTCATTTCAATTCCTGTATGAAGTACATGAGCATGGCCAGAAGTTGAGTCAGTCATGAGGCTCGCAAGTCTAGCCTGCGTTATTCTTTTCTTTTGCTGCACATTTCCTGCTCACCGTGTGCAATGATAGTTCAGGTTTTATGGCACAACTTTGATATTAAATGTACCAAGATTGAATCTTGATGTTTGGGGCTTTATAATTTCCTGTTCTAATTTGAAAACTTGAGGTTTCGCTTGAATGTCGTTACCTGGGTTTGGCATGAATCCCATAGGAGCAAAATTGCAGAAGTTTTATTTACGGTTTGCAGGTTCTTTCTTTTCTGCATCTTGTGTTTGCATTTGAAAGCTTTTATGTTGAGAAGTGAGAAGAGTATTTGGCAGGCCTGTTGTTTTGTTTCAAGCCGTGTTCGGCTGCGGTTTGTTGCACGAAAATCTGTCACGGCTTCTGATTTGTTGCGTCAATCGTGTTAGTTGAGGTTGAGGCTCACAATCAGTTTGTTCTGGGCATAACAGGGTGTAGTCTACCTGTTGTCCATCGTTTTGGACTCGGTGCTGGTATGGGTGAAAGTATGATTTTCATTGCAAAAAGCTTTTACAATCACAAATCTCCTTCGAATCATTTGCATGAAAGTTTTCCAAGAGTTCGCGTCATTTCTGTCTACGCTTTTGCTTGATTGGATGTCAAGTCCAAGGCCGTGTTGTTTAAGTCATTTGTGGTGTTCGAATGAAAAGAAATCACACCAGAAAACCAGGAATTTTCTTTTTAACAAAGCCGAATGTTTGTGTCTGAAATTTGGGTTTGGAAATAAAAAATGCAGCAGGCTTGCATGTCCGTTTGTTGAAGTTTTGCATAGCTAAAGTGTTTGATTTGTTTATCTTTTGATTGGAGTACCGTATGCATGTATGCTATGAAGTAGAGCCATGTTTTGAAATAGAGTTCAGCTGCAATATAACAATCCCATTCGTTGCAGCCATCGAATCATTTTGCTGCATTTTCTTTGCTGATTCCCTTTCCACGATTGCCCACCAAATTTCGCCCCCAGCTTGTTTGTTGGCCTTATATTGAAAAGAAGAATTTGAATAAATGGTGTTTGAGTTGGCTTGCTTGGAGTCTAAACCACCTGAGTCAAGATCACATACCTGTTGAAGATGAATTTCGGGTTGCCAAACCTGTTTTATATGAATGTAACCCCAGAATTTTGCATCAGTTTCCTGCTATATTTTGGGTTGAATGAATCTTAAAATTGTATGTCATGAGGTTTAGATTAGTTTTGTGATGTTTGGTTGAAAGGTCTTGATCAAATTTGGGGGTTTTGGAATATGAAATCCAAGTTTGGAAGTAAAATGCAGCGCACATTCACGTTGTTTGTAGAAGTTTTCAGCTGCAGAAATTGTCTTCCTACGTTGTTTGCATGAGTTTGCATGAAAATGATTTCCAAAAATTGCACTTTGCTCCCTCTAGTCTCTAGTAATACTACAAAGGCCCAACTACATTCCATGATCTTGCAATTAGGTCCTAAAATACTTGCATCTTAACCCCCTAAGTTCCCCACTTGTCTTGTTATGGTCCAATTAGTTGAATAATTTAATCACTTTTGTCATTCTAGAATCTTAATTGCTTTTGGTTTGCTGTGACATGATTTTTGGATAAGACGTTTAGTGAGTTTTAGGATGCATTTTGAGGTTCAATAAGTTTTAATAGAATTTTTAGCTTGGATTTGTGTTCTAATCACATTTTTGCATTTGATTTCTATGGGTCTCATCTTAAGTCATCAATTTTGGTATTTTATTTTACTCACTTTCAGAAATTTTGAGTCCTTCTAAACAAGTCCCTCTTGCATTAATTGCTTTGTACATGGTTGGTTTGTCTACGTAAATACTTTAGTTGACTCAATTTAGTGTTTAACTTTCATTTTTTCATATTTAATTTTTGTTTCATGCGACTATTTGATAATTTAAGTGGTACCTTGACCTTTTTATTATTTTGGAGGGTAAGTTAGTAATTTCACTACGTTAGGGCGTCGCTTCAAGGGAGGTACACTCTATCTTTCATTTGCACTCCATTTGACCTTACGTGCTCTTACGTGTTATGTGAATATGCCTGTCTACTTCGC